GGAGCTGCGGAGCTGGATGAGGAGGCTGGTGATCGCTGTCTCCAGTCACAGGGTGAAGAAGGAGCTGTGGAGCTGGACGAGGAGGCTGGCGTCTTCTGCCCCCCACCGCTGTACTATAACGCCGATCCCTGGCACACCGCACCTGTCAGGCCCCTGCCAGCCCTGAAGGAGCGGGAGGAAGAGCTAAGGAGCCCCCTGGTCTCCAGAGCTGTGCCTGATGCCACCTCATTGGGGAGCCCCCCAGTGCCAGACATAACCCCGCAGCTGCCCAGTGCAGCCTGCCAGCTGCGTGAGGCCCTGAGGCAACTGCCACTGGTCAATGCTCTGCTGGTAGAGCTGTCGCTGCTGGGTGGTGAGCCGGGGCCTGGCACCATTCACCCCCAGTTGGCCTGGCTTTATCGAGAAGCAGGAGCGAACAGAGAGCCCATGCAGCCTTCCCTCAAGAGCAAGTCGCCAGCAGGGGAGGTGAAGAAAAAGGGTCCTCAGCCCAGTGCAAAAAGCAGATCGTCTAGCCCAAGGTTCAGAAAAAGCTGGCAGAGGTCTTTCCAGTTGGGTGCTCCTTCTTCCTGGCAGCAGAATTGCAAGAAAGCTGCGCTGGCAAGGCAGGCTGCCTCCGAGAGAGACAGCAGAAGGAAAGAAAACACACCTCCGCAAAGGAAACTTTTTTATGGGCTGACAAACACACTGAGGCTGCGGTTGCAGCAAACCAATCCTGATATGTTGGTCATTCATGAAAGGAGAGAGGAGTATAGAAAAAAACAAGCAGAGGCACTGAGGGAAAAGAGGGGGAAGGGACCTGGATCCAAAGGAAAAATGTTCAGAAACTCAGCAGAACAACATTTATCTTACCAGCATCCTGAAAGGGCAGTGGTTTCAAAAAGAAATAGGCTTGATGAAAATATTCGGACTTTAATGCAAAACAACCTTGAAAAAAATTATGAAACCACAGGAAAAGGACACCTTTCTGACCTACAGGAGCATGATCTTGCTAGCAGTTGGAAAAATAGTGATGGAAATGCAAGAGGTGGTTCATCTGAAGAAAATACGGACTCTTCAGTGAAAAGAACCACACTGCAATCCGGTTACAAAGAAAAAGATGTACAAATCCACCTGCCAAGAGCTTTCATGCATCATACTGATGCAAGAGAAAATAAAGTAGATGAAGAAACAACACATATTAGCATAGGCCTGGCCGTGGAGGAGGACTCTGTTGCTTTCGTATTAGGTGATGATCATAAACCAAACCCAAACAGGAGTTTTGAGAGTATCTCTGAATTCAAATATTCAGAGGACTTTGTAACCAGTCTTGAGAACACCATCTATTCAGAAGATTTCACCAATGCTGATTATACTGCAAGAGGATCAGAAGCTTTTGGCAGTAGCCCAGACCCTGTATTACTAAGCCCAATGCAAACTCGCTCAGAAGTGGATTCAGAATCAGACAAATCAAAAATATCTGGGGAAAGTCTGAGGACGGAGAGCAGGTCAGCTCATGTCCCAGTTCCCTCAACTGCATCACCAGTCCACTCTTTTAAGATACCCTACCGTTTAAAAAACAGAAAGAAAAGCAGAGTTGCAGTTGGGAGTTTATTGAGCAACCTTTCTAGTCCTGCAGAGTCATTACATGAGCAGCAGCCATCCCTACAGTTCAAGGAAGAAGGCAGCAAGAGTGACCAAACTCTCAGAGAATCCTTGGCCGTGAAAGATAAACAAGGTCATTCTGATAAGACCTGCAATGTAGGAAAGGGTCAGACCTCTTCAGAAAAGAGCCAGTCTCTAAAGACATCTCAAGTTAGTTCTTACCTGCCATCCAATGTGTATGACTTTGAACTTAGTGCATTGGAAAACAGTACTTCAGACGAAGAAGAGAATGATGATTTGGGAGCATTAAGTATTACTAATCAATGTAAACACATCAGTGAGCTAGTAGTAAACAAGCTTCCTGGATACACAATGTGATTACCGTTAGATGGTCTGCTGGTCAAAATGATGTTAAAACAACATTTCTGTAAACACTGACAATTTAAAACTCTTGTACAGCACTGGCATTTTATATGAATTTAATAAAATACTGCTTGAGCTCTATAAGAACATTGCAATTAAATGGTGCATATAACATGTTAATGTTTTGAATCCAATTAAAAAAAAAGCAGCTAAACTATTATTTATTTTTGATTGTAGAAATTAAGATAGAAGCAGTGAGGGTTCCTGGATTATCTAAAAACTTTTTTTCAGGAGAGAGTATTGTAGCATGCAGCTAGTGTGTGTACAGAATGTATGTAACTACTGTTAAAATGTAGCAGTTCATGAACTAGAATTCACCCTCTCCACAAAAATATCTTGTATGTTTCCAGGAAATTAGGGATCCAAATGGAGCACAACCTGTAATTAGTTGTGACAGGCCACAAGCATTAGCAGCCAGAAGGAACCCTTTATCTGGTCTGTGTAGTACAGGCAATATTACTTTATCCAGTGGTTCTAGTCATCTGTGAACTGAAGCACTGTTTCTCAACCTTTTCAGGTTAGCAATTCCTTAAAGTCAAATTTTTATCCATCTCTTTACATTTACTCTAAAATAGTAACAAATGTTATGGACAGCGATAAACATAATTTTTCTGAGCGGGTTGAGAGAGAGAATACTTGACCTTGTAAGGTATGGGTGCCAATGAGTTTTAATAAATTTTCAACGCCTCACAACCCCTTGATTGCATTTTGAGATGCTGCCCCTTAAGGGTCATGACCCGCTAGTTGAGAAACGCTGGACTGATATGTACATTTCAGAAAGACATCAGAACATGATTTAAAGATTCCAAATGATGGAAAATTTAGTACATCCTTTTGTAATCTGTTCCAGTGATTAGCTGTCTTCATTGTTAAATTTATACTTCATTTTCAGTTTGAATTTGTTTTATTTTTCCCCTTTTCTTCTGACTTTCACTTTCAGCCATTGGACCTGTATAATTGACATGTTTGGAAAAAATATACATTTATATTCCTACTCTAAATTTCAAAGGCATTCTTAAGAAAGCAAAACAACAAAAATCACACCTCTCTCTTGTTCTCTTTGCTGACTTGTTAGGTGTCTAAATTTTTGTAGGGTGGAAGCAGATTTACCTTTGTGGCAACAATTTTTTTTGGCAGCACAAAGGCCAAACATGTCCATGCCCTTTGTTGTGCCACAAATGCCTGAAATTTGTAGCCACAACATAGGTGGTATCAATTTGTACCGCTTTATTGTGACTGATGTCTCCTCAGTTTATGGTGGGGGAGCATGGTCAGTTTGGAGCTGCTTCCAGGGACTGAGAGAGCCATTTTTGCATACCCTGGGAATTCCCTGGGAGCACTTCCCATCTCTTCCCTCTAACAGAGACATGTCCCATGCAGTTTCTGGGTTTTGTTTCTGTAAGCAGGAAACCCCAGCTTTCCCTGTTAGAGACATGCCCTGGGGAATTTCCCAGGCACATCTCTGTAAGTGAAAATCATGTTGTCTATTGTCCTACAGGATAGCCCAGTGGGACAATGTGCAATAATGAAGCAGATCCAACGGTAGCAGGACACATCCTACCATAACTTATCTGCTTTATTTGGTGACGTGGAAGTGCAGACAGAAGCGCAGCTCCCTGCTGTAACAATGCTTTGCAGGAAGTGTTCTGAGTTACAAGGATCCCCTGGATCAAACAGAAGAGAAATGTTGGTTGCAGGGGAAGAGGGGAATCTAGCTGTTGGCTGCAGCCTGCCACTAGTTTCCCGTACCAGTAGCCCTTTCTCTTTCCCAGCCTGTCCCTGTTTCAGAATGTGAGGGTGGAGAGGGAGCTCATTCTAGGGGTTCCCCAGCCAGCGTTGGAGAGTGGGGTGGGTGAATTAGAGCCCCCCCCCACCTCAAGGACTGAAAACCTCCCAGACTGAACTCCTCCATTCCCTTTCTCCCCTCCCATTCACCAAACAGTGACAGGCTGGTAGGCAGCACAGACGGAAGTTACAGAAGATACTTTCTTTTGAAACATCTTCATCTGACCCCTCATGCAATTAGGGTTCAGATTTTCACCTAACAGGCTATTTCTGAAGCCATCCACTTGTGTTTGGTCATGGCTATAAACAGCTTTCTGTGGCCAGATTGGGCAAAAATTGTCCTTTCTATCTGCGCCTCTGTTTATATCCTAAATCTTGGAATAAATTTACAATCCCTTTCCTCAAATCAGACTTTTATCTGGTTTCTCATTAATACTGTCCTGTCTAGAACCTTCTTCCTCTAAAGTGTTATATTACTCTCACCAAGTTTTGCCTAAAGTTTTTTGCTTTATGTTAGCTCACAGTTACCCTCCTCTGAAACACTGTCCTGTTACTGCATATTTTTACCTTTCATGTAATTAATTCATAGGACTAACTATTTACATTTCTACAGTCTGTACATTTAGTTTTTTCCAACTCTTCATTACTAGTTCCATTTACTTGGGAGTGATACTACCTTCTACCAAAACCAGTTTGACAAATGTAATCTAGTAAGACTATTTGAATACTTACATCAATATCAGAGCCTAACTGAACAGTAATTTGAAGGCAAGCAGACACACTTATGCTTCCTGTGCTGAAAGCAATTTCCACTCAGCTGTTTTATGAATAGTTTTTTTATATTGTTTTACTTCATCATTTCACAATTCCAGATGAAAGAACGACTGTGGAGCCAGTCTCCCTCATTCCTGAACATTTTGTCAAAATAACCAACCTCACTTGAATCCTGTGTTATATTTTTTAAAAATTATTACTAATGGGTCAAGTTCCATGCAGTGTTCATGGGCAAACCTGCCAGTGAAGTGGGGGCCTGCAGGAGTTGGCCCAACTACTTTTAGTAGATGAAAGGATCTGTGGGTTTTGGGGTTTTTTCATTTAAAACCTCTCTGAAACAAAGTTCTCTTGAGATCTTACACAGTTAAGCATAGATTATATATGTAAAGTATTATAAAGTATTCGATGATAGATTGGAATTAAAGACAGAAATTTTGTTTGATTGTTCCTTCATAATTGTTCCGTTTATAAGGACATTGAAAAAGGATTCATTCCAACTAATTTTATTTTTTATAACATCTATGAGTTAGTTAAATAAATACTGTGGTGTCCAAATATAGCAAGTGATGGAATTACTAGATAGTAATAGTCCCTGTGTTACACATTTTCTAAGGAGGAGACATACCTGCAAGAAAATGGAATTAATTTAAGGAGTCATTTTTTAAACATACATTTTTACATAAAATCCAGCTAGGAAGTACAGCAGAGGAAAGGAGGTTTACACCTTCAGCCTAATTTTTAATCTTCCGAATAACGGTTTGAACAAGTTAAGACTGGATATGAGCTGTGCCATTGTTATAATGATATGATCTTATATGTAATTGAACAATTCTCCATTAAAAGAAATAGGGAAAGATTTAGTTATATTAGTATGATATTTGGGATCCATGAAGCCATCGCATTTCCAACACGTTTTAATAAAACAACATTTTTCTGTATTCTACAGAACAAAAATAATGATTTTATAGGTATTTTTTATGTAAGGACGCATGAGAATTTATCAGAATTACCTTGAATGAATCATACATTATATCACCTCAGCCTGGGTATACTAGTTTAGGTAGTTTCTCAGTGGGCACATTGACATGTTCCTTAATGCACCTTTGCTACTATGCATTATGTGTAGTACCTGTAATATGAGTATTACATAGAGGCTTATTAGCTGCCCTAATGCACAGTAGCAAAAGTGAACTTTTTTGTGCCAATGCACAGTAGACTAGCATGGTTTTTTTGCAGTGCTTTGCAGTGCTTTAATGCACAGTAGACTACTTACTGTGTATTAAAGCACACATACAGGCATGCCTAGCTTTATTTACAAATTGTATCATCTTCAATTTTGACCAAATTAGGTAATAACATAAATTATAGTAAAGGATCTCTTTAACTGTACTTTTATAGGGGAAAAGGCAATCAGGACTGATAGCAGAGATGATATCTTTTATAAGGCCAACACAATTTTTGCAAAAAAAAAATTCTTTTAATTTCAAGATTTTGGGCACAAACAGCCCTTCACAGGACTCTTAATCCTGATTCATACCAGCTATAAGCTGACTTCCCAAAGGACTTTTCCATCTATTGACTCCTCTCTGAAATCCTATGAAATATGAACTTTCATTTCTACCCAGGAGAACTTTTACAATCTTTTCTCCAATGGCTGATGAAGGGTGTTTGTGCCTGAGAGCTGGCAATTAAAGATTTTTTTTGAAAAAATCTTGGTGTAATGAAAGATATTATCTCTACTATGAATCCTGATTGCCTTTTAACTGTACTTGCAACTTAAACTTCTTAAGCTAGCTTTCCTCAGTAAATGACTTTTAAAAAATTAAGACTCAGGTGCAGAGAAATGAGAGGAAGAGCAAGGCATCTCCATAAAGGCTGACTACGTTAACATCCACTAAACTGGATGGAAGGTGGCTTATAGGATGCCCCCTATGGAGATCCTGGCATTTTAATGAAGGGGAGAAAGCAAGCAGAGCTATCCCCTTCTGCCCTTCTCTTTGTTGACTGAGAAGCCTGCTGCTAAATAGAAATAGTGATAGAGATTTAGCAGCAGTCTGTCATGCACCTGCAGGCTGTCTCCGGCATTTTCTCCAGTTTGGTTCTGTGCTGCCTTCACGCCTTTGAAAGGTCTAATCTAGTGCAAAGGCAACTCAGTGCATGTGAAAAGATTCTGTCTGACATCCCTGAAGACATACAGATGGTATACAGGTTATATAAGAATATATACAGCATACATAATAACTTCTGAACTCTGTACCACCAATGCAAACTTGAAAGGTCAAGCCTTTGTGGGTGCAAAACATTCCTTCTGAAGTTTATTCAATTTTCATTTTCAGTCCAGATTGCTAAAGCAATTGCCAATTATTTCTCATTGTGATGTGCAGAGTGTTCCATTGGCAACTACTCTAAAACCAAACCCATTTCTTAAATGACAACAGCTGTCCACCTAATGCTTTTTACATCACTGCCATTTAAGTTGAGTTCCTACCAGCAACTTGAAGGCTGTGTAAACTCTTTGAAACCTGTAGTCTCTGAAATGGCTGTCAGTAGTCTACAAGGAGCTGCAAATGGCTCACATTTACTTGCTGTTAGGGATTCTTTAAATAG